GACTCAAATCCACATTCTACCTGGCCCAGCCACACTGGGCCACCTGCCCTGCTCTGCATCGTCCGTCCACCTGCTTTCCCAAAGAGTAGCCATCTCTAGCCCTGGGTGTTTTCTCCTGCCATTCCCCATGCCTGGAAGCTTGTCCCTCCTTGGCTTCCTCTGAATCCATCCAGAAGCCTTCTCTAAGCCCTCTTAGTTCCAGCCCTCCCCCAGGTTAATCATTTCCTATTTATCCCACTCAGAGCTGGCTTTGTATACACTTGCCTCGTTCTCTGTTGTCTTGTTTTGCTTTTTAAGAGGCTGTTCTCTGCCCATTTCTTACCTAGCCTTAATCACTGAATAGGTGTTGCCTCGGTCAAACTGAGACCTGGGATAGACTTTCACTTGAAAAAGTCAAGGTCGTCTCCCTCCCTTCCCCCCCCCCCCCCCCCCCCCGGCCATCTGCAGTCATCCTGACCTGTATCTGGCCACTGGGCCCGGATGGCTCCTGGGCAGAGGTGAGGTTGGTGACCTTGCAAAGCCCTCCCATCAATCCAATCCAATCGCAGGTCCTGGTATCACCTCCCAAGTGTCAGGGTCCTCTTAGAGAAGGACAGGGCGGCAGCAATTTGCCTGATTGTAAACTCCTGGAGGGCAGGGGCTGTCTTTTGCCTTAAGGAATATTTACTGATTGATTGATTGAATTTCCTCTCCTGGGCTCCCTAAATAGGAGGGGTGGGAACGTGGGTCAATCTGGCCTTTAGCTCTAATTAAGCACCCTCTTACTACCTGGGCACGCCCAATCAACCCTCAAGCATTGAAGAGCATTGATGAAGTCCCCAAAGCCTGCCCTGGCTCAGCCTCCAGCTTAGGGGGGAATGCTCTGGAAGGGGGGCACTGACTCCCACCCAGTAGAGAATGGCTGGCCCCCAATGTCTAGAAAGGCCCGAGGGGGTGGAGGGAGAGGGTGCCTCAGGAGGGATTAGGGCCTTCATCCACCTCTCACTCTAGGCAAGGCCCTGGACCTCAGTGTCCTGTCTATAACTCGGGGCTCAGAGGGGGCGGGCAGCAGCAGAGAAGAGGGCTTGCCTTCCAGAGGTCAGCCCTGCCCTCCCCCAAAGCCAGTCTCTGATCAGGAACGGAGACAGGAAAGCCCCCTGAGCACAGGGCACTTGGTCAGGAGCCAGGCCCTGGAGCAGCTGTCTGTTGTCTCCTGGGGCAGGGGTGGGGGGGACCACATCTGGTCTGGATTCCAGCAGGAGACAGCCAGAAGGGGAACACCTGAGCAAACTGGCAGGAGAGGAAATAAGCATTTATTAAGTGCCTACCGTACAACAATCTGGTGCTATCATAATCCTCATTTTACAGCCAAGGAAACTGGGGCAGACAGAGGTTAAGGGACTTGCCCAGGGTCACAGGGACAGAAAGTGTTTGAGGCCAGATTTGAACTCGGGTCTTCCTGACTCCAGGCCCAGCACTCTATCCACTGGACCACCTGGCTGCATGGACATTGCCTGGCACCCTTTCTAGGAATGGCATCCCAGAGTCAGGCCAGAAAGCACGGCCCCTGAGGAGAGACTCGAGTCCCAGCTGGGCGCGGGACCCAGAGAGGTCTGCAAGCAGGGAAGGGGCAGGTGACTGGCTAAAGTCCACCAAGCCAGCAGGCATCATTGTGAGGGCTTGCGATGGCAGCTGGGCCAAGGAGATGAAGGTTGAGGCGGCAACTCCCAGCTCTGAGATGCCAGAGCAGCAGCCCAGCCCCTGAGGGCAAAGCAGGGAGCACAGCCAGAAGCCTGTTCCCCCCGGGGCAGGGGGCCTGGCTAGCTGTGGCCCAGTCCTCCCAGAATCTGGGGTGGGGGGGCTGAGCCTCCAGGTGCAGTCACAAGCCTGGCCAGGGAGGGGGTGGGCTTCCACGGGAGCCCAGACAAGCAGCCACCCGTCTAACCTCTGCCTGAAGGGTTTTGGTGAAGGGGAGCCCACTGCCTTCCCAGGCCGACAGAGGTCGAGGAGCCACTCTCCAGCCCAAGCTCAGTCTGCCCTCCGAGGCTCCCCTGAACCTTCATTCACAGTCAAGAACCAGAGACTTCTCCAGAGGGGAGACACCTTCACAATCATCCAAGTCCAGCGGGGAAACCGAGGCCCACCGAGCTTAAATGACTTGTCCAAGGCGGGGCACCTGGTTGGCTAGAGGCAGGACTAGAGCTCGGGTGTCCCGATGGCTAGTCCATGACCTCCTCCCTGGGGTCACCGCATTGTTCCCAACCTCAGTTTCATCATCTGTGAAATGGGGATGGGGCAAGACTAGAGGACCAGCTCCTCTGTGACCCCAACAGGAAGCAGCTCCAGGCTCCCAAGAAGTTAATGTCTTTGGATGGAACGGGTCACGCGCTAGCCGGACCTGGAAGGGCTGGCCAGACATCTGGGGGGGGGGGGCAGCGAAGAGGGGCAGAGGGGGAGGCAGAGAAGGGGGAACCCCTCCAGGCAGGAGAACCCTCACTTTTCTAAGACCTCAGGATACATCACCCCAGGCCTCTCTTCAGGGCTTCAATCCAAATCCTCCCACTCGGAGCACTGGGTCTGCTCCGTCCTGGATAGGCTGAGCAAAAGTTACTAGTGGAGAGACCAACCTGAAGAACTGAGGCCCAGAGACGGGACGGTACGGGACTTGCCCAGGGTCACCTAGCCAGGTGGGGCCCGAGGCCTCAGTTTCCCCGGTAAGATAAAGACGACAGACGCCATGGTGCCCGACTGCAGACAGACCCCAGCCTTACCATTCTGGTGCCTTCCTCCCTCCAGCTCAGCCCTCCTGGGGTGGAAGGCCAGGGGAGGGGGCCAAGTCACTTAGGGGCAGTCCGGCAGGGGCGGGGCGGGTCTTTCTCCTTCTCCAGCCCCTGGAGGGGGAGCAGGAAGAGGCGACCTGCCCCGGGGGTGGGTGGGGGTCTGGGAGGAGCAGAGGGATTCCGTCCCGGCTCTGGGGGAGAGATGCCCAGCCCGGCTGTGCCCCAGCCCCTGCCTCACCCCAGGGATCGGACACTCGCCTCTGCTCATCTAAAACCCGCTCTGGTTCAGGGGACAGTCCTTGGCTGACCCCAGGCCGCCATTTGAGGTAAGTACAAGCAGCTGCAGCAGCTGGGCCTGGGTCTGTGGACACTTCCTGGCTGGGTGACCCTGCCTAAGTCCCACACTCCGGTGTCTGCCCGCTGGGGACGCCGTGAGGGCCCAGCGATCACTCAGCCAAGCGCCCGGCGCGTGGTAGGTGGTCTGTGAACACTCATTCCCTTCTGCTGGCGCCTCTCTCCCCCTGCTCCGCCCAAGATGCCCGGCACAACGGGATGCAGTGGGAGGGAGGAAGTGAGCTGCCCGTCCTTAAACAGCAAGCCGGCCCAGGGGTTTCCAGGGGCTTTCCGCCCAGAAGAGCCATCACCTGGCGGAGCCTGCAGGAAGGCTCGCCCCCTCCTGGCCCTGGCTGCAAACTGCCGAGGTGCTCCCAGGGCCCGCCGAGCTGGGCAGGGCGGGCACCCCTCTCCCTGCCCGCTTCGAGACTCTGTGACCCACACTGCCAAAGGGCTCGTCTTTGCCAGGCTCGCAGAGCCAGTGTGGCTCAGTGGTCAGGGCTGGCGCTGGAGACAGGAAGGCTGGACTAGCTGTGTGACCCTGGGCAGGTCCCTTTGCCTGTCAGCCTCGGTTTCCCTGTGTGTGACCCCGGACCAAGAACCAGCGTGTGGGGCAGGTGCCACCCTTACCCCCACTTTACAGATGCAGAAACTGAAGCCCAGGGAGGGTGAGCGACTTCCTCAGGGGGACACCTAGGAAGTGGCTCAGGAGGATTTGAACTCGGGACTTCCAACCCGAGCGAGGCCCCCCAGCAGGAGGCAGTGCTTTCTCATTCCCTGGGGCCAAACATAATGCCTTTCCCTTCTCTCTTCAGGGCTCCCCTTTTAACAGCTGCTAAACTGAGGCTCATGGGCGGCTGAAGCATCTTGCCCAGGGCCTCAAGGTCAAGTCAACTAGCATTTATGAAGCGCCTACTATGTGCCAGGGACAGCTGGGTGGCACTGCGGAGGCTGGAGCACCAAGAAGACCTGAGTTCAAATGCTGCCTCAGTCATGTCCTAGCCGTTTGACCTTGGGCAAGTCACTTAACCCTGCCTGCCTCAGTCTCCTCATCTGTAAAATAAGCTGGAGGAGAACGCATCTTTACCAAGGAAACTCCAAATGGGCTCAGGGAGAGTGCACAGAGTGGACACTGCGCCAGGAGCTGGGCCAAGCCCCTGCCCTCAGGGGGCTTGGCAATCTAATGGGGGGGCATACACCGTGCAAACAGCTGGACAGGCCCCGGACCTCGGCTCTGGCCAGGGGCAGCCGGAGAGGATTGCCGGGAGCCCTGGGGGGAAAGGCCCGGCTCCCCTTCCTCCTTCCAGGGCTCCCGGCTGGCTGGGGGGAGGGGAGCGCGGCAGGCCAGGAAGCCGGCCCCTCCCCCCGGCTCCGGCGGAGGTGGGGGGCTGCGGGCGCGGATCGGGGCATGTTCTTTCACCCTCCTCTCGGGCCCTGCGCAGCCCCCCTCTCCAGGAAGGCTCTACGACCCTCCGAGGCTCCCGGGGAAGCGGGGAGGGGCGGCGGGTTCTAATTCTGTTCCGAGTGCCCTGCGGCCTCAGTTTCCTCTTCTGTAAAAAGAGGGCCTCCAGTTCCGCCCGCCTCCGGACTAAACCCGCACCCACGAGGGGCCCCTCATGGGGCAATCCGGGACAGCCAGGACGGGGCGAGCCGCCGGAAGGGAGCGCGCATGGGCGAAGCCTGCCTCCCGGGGGGGGGGGGCGCCGCGGCGGGCCCCCTCCTTGGCTCGGCCCCGCCCCTTCCCACTTCCCCAAAAGGAGCCCGGGCGGTGCCGCGGAACTCACGTGCGCAGGGCCTTGTTTCTGGGCGGCGGGTGTGAGCACGTGACGGGCTCGGCCGGGTTCCGGAGACTCGGCATGGTGGGCAAAGCGAGGCGGCCCCGGGCCAGGCTGCACGCAGCCGCGGTGAAGGCGGCCCGCCCGGCCCCGAGCGCCAAGGAGGCAGAGGCGTCGGTGGCGGCAGCGGCGACGACCACGACCGCGGAGGCGACAGCACGGAGTGGAGCAGGGGGACAGGTAAGGCCGGCGCACCGCAGGCGGGACCACCGGAGCCGGGAGGGGGGGAATGTGAGCAGGGGGGAGCGGCACTTGGTACGCTCCAAGCGGGAGCCCTGGTTGGGTGCGCTCTCGCGAGAGCGACAGGGGGCGCGCCGGAGCCGGAAGAGAGGAGAAAGCGAGGGAGCGGGCCGTACCAAGTCACATGCCGGCGGGGGCGGGGAAAGGGAGCACGGGAGATAGTACGGTCCTTGTCTAGCAGCTGGCGTGCTCTCAAGAGAGCGGCAGAGGGCGCGCAAGAGCCGGAGCCGAGGTGGTGGGGCGAGCGGGGGAGTGGGCTGTACCGACCCCTGAGCTCTAGGGGAGCGTTCGGGAAGCGCGGCCACTGCCTCGGTCGGGCTGCCTTCAGATCGCTCTGCACCTGTCAGTACTGGTACAGTTGGCCGGGTGCCAGCGCTGGGCCATTCTCCTCTGCCCAGAGCCGGAGGGGTCTCTGTCTCGGGAAGGCCCCGCAGCTCTCTCCTGGAGACCCTCTGTTGTGAACCTAAGCCCTCCTCTCCCATCCCTTGGCTGTCACTGCAGAGGACGGCGCTGTCCTTCCAGTCCCTCCGGCTGGGACCACCCGCAGCCGGCGGCGTGCGAAAGCCTGTCTGTTTCACCTCTGTGTGTCTTGTCCGTTTCTCCTCCGCTGTGTGTCTTGTCCGTTTCTCCTCCGCTGTGTCTTGTCCGTTTCTCCTCCGCTGTGTGTCTTGTCCGTTTCTCCTCCAGGTCAGTCTCTCCTCTGCCAGTTTCACTTCACCTCCCCACACCCTCCCAAATTCTCCCCCTTCTCTCGGTCTGGCCCTGCTCCCGCCCCCGCCCTGGTGCAGGTCTTGCTCACATCATGCCTGGACTATGGCCACAGCCGCTGGGGAGGGTCTGCCTGCCTCCAGTTTCTCCCACTCCGGTCCATCTTCCATTCAGCCACCAAAGTGATCTCCCTGAAGCCCAGTCTCGCCACTCACCCCCTACACGTAAGCTCCAGGGGCTCCCTCTGGCCTCCAGGACAAAATCCTCTGTTTGACCTTCAAGGCCCTTTAAAACCCAGCATCCTCCTCCCTTTCCAGGCTTCCTACACCTTGCTCCCCTTCACGTTCCAAGAACAAGACCCCCCATCTCTGTCTGGGCTTTTTCTCTGGCCATCCCCCAGTCCTGGAACACTCTCCCCCTGCTCTAATTACTGAGCTCTCCTTTATGTCCCATCTAAAATCCTACCTCCTCCAGGAAGCCTCCAGGGCCTTCCCTCTGTTCATCATTCCCTCCTTAGTCTGTCTCCAGGCTTGCTTTGTCTAGATTTGTTTGCATGCTGCCCCATTAGATTATAAGCTCCTCCAAGGCAGGGACTGTCTTTTGCATCTGGCACATTGTAGGTACTTAATCAGTGTTGACTGACTGGATTCCTGCAGACTGACAGCCTTAGCAGGCAAGCCAGGACTTCTTCAGTGGTGACCCCTGTGGAGACCTCCAGGAGGAGTCAGGATGTCTGCACAGTTCCCTGCTCATCTCATTTCAAGTCTTCTTTCAGCCCGCTGCCTGCTTACCCTCCCCTCCGAGGCTGATGGGACTACTTACTGGCTTAATTAAAATAAGTCTAATTAAAGCCTGGAGATCCTGGCTGCAGGAGGCCTCCCAGGAGATATACCTGAGTGGGGATGGAAACTTGCCCTGCCGGCGCATGGGAGTCTGAGCTTTCCTGCCCTCCCTCCCCCAGATGCCAGGGGTCACCGGCCTCCCTCCCTCAGAGTGGCTTGGGGGCTTGAGGCCTTTAGGGAGGAGAGAGACGAGGGTTGGACTAGAGGCTGCCCGATAGCCTGGAATTCTGTGAAATCACATTTGTAGCCCTCTGGGTAGGTAGAAAGGAATGGCATCTGTGATGCAGAAGAAGCCAGGGAGAAGGCAGATGGATCTTGTAGAAGCCTGGGATGGGCAGGAGAGATTGGAGGGAGGGTCCACACACCTAGAGCCCCAACTGCCATGCCTGGCTTCTCATAGGGATGGAGCCTCCAGGTTGTGGTCAGGTGGGTGAGAAGGGGGGGG